TTCTAAGTCACCAATTTAGTGGAATTTCCCATTGGGAACCTACTAGCACTAAGTTGCTAACTGGTTAACAAGATGCTTCAGAGACACCGGCAACAACCAAACGTGCTTGCGAACCTTCTGCCACAACAATCCCGCCCCCTTGAGAATTAACAGATCACACTTTATTCACTCATGTAATGTTGGGCACCACTCGGGAGAATTTGGTAATGAAACGGTTGCAACAGCCACTTCCCTACGACTTTATTTGAGTATGGCAGAGCTGAAATTTGCTTTTACTGATTCTGACCTGATTTCCTACAAACAATGATGGACCCAATCTAAAGTTTCTCTTCGGTTTTCATAAAGACTTTCATGTTGTCTTTTTACTGTCTATTTAAAACCAACCTTAGGTACGGCTAAACAAAATTATATTTTCTCTGTCTCATCTGAAATAAATCGAACAAAGTCACAGTTCTGATCTAGCCTTAAAAAAACTAAACTGGAACCAAAAGTTTGCAATTAGACCTGATAACTGTGCAGCTTTTCTAGATTTATTATTAGATTTAGTCAAATCGAACAGGCAGAAAACAGTCGAAAACAGAGACAGAAACATCCTTTCAGCTTAAGCAGGAGAAAATAAATAAATCTGATCAGTAATATTTTAATATAAATTACATTTGGAGGCATTCAGTTTTAGTGAGACAATAACAATCAAGCACTAAAACCACTGAGTTATTGGGAACGGTGGTTGTCCAGGGGTCAAGCAGCCGCCTGACTTACTGACCTTCGCAGCATATCTTTCCTCTCTCTCTTCTCCAATTTCCTTTCAATAACTAATAATACAGATAAAGGCCACTGGACCCTAGATAAATGACTGCGTTATAAATATGCTCTGCAGATAATATAGATATATGTCAGTATTTCAGACAGGTTAGAAAGATGCAATAACTTTTTTTTTTTTTTAAATAATTTTTCCAGATCCTAAAATCCTCCAGTGCTCAGTCGCCAATCAAGGAGCGCAGCCGAGGAAAGTCGCTGTCACCACGGCGACGGCAGAGCAGCCCTCAGCGACGGAGCGTGCACCGCAGAGACAAATCGTAAGTGAATGTTTTGTATCTTCAACAAGCTGTTCAGGAGTTAAAAAATATCCGAACTAAAGACGTCTGTGAAAGGATCCCACTCCGGGAGTTAAACCCCAAACCTGGCTCCCTCTTTTCCTTCTGCCCTCTCTGCCTGTTCGGTTCAGGCAGAGTTCAGCCTGTCTACTGTGTGTGAAGGTCTTCAGAGATCTGGCGTCTTCCTGTTAGCTCGACGCTAAGCCTCAGAGGCACCAACACTCATGAGAGATCATCTCAAATTAGGTGAGACTGACGGGTAGCTCAGCATTATCACCAAGGAGACAAACCCAGCAGCACGGTCACTGTGATGGAGTGTCTGCAGCTCTAGAACACACAGCACAGCTAAATCAGTGTGTTAATGAAATCTACTGCCAGTTGTCTCATTAAACTCTTCCTGTAAAGATTATTATCCAGTTTTAATCACACTTGTCCTAAATACCTTTCTGTTTTAAACACCAACAGTATCACTGTAAAAAGAGCAGGGTTAGTCCTGCCTGCAGGTCATTAGGACGGAGGCTGACATGAACGATGCTGAGCGTGTTTGTGTGTCTGTCAGCTGTGTGACGGGATGTAACACAATCTGACCGGGACGACAGCTGCAGCTCACAGAGACGGGCAGCGCCAGAATTAGTTACTGACTCGCCGTTACCATGTGGCTGAGCTGAACCACATCATCCTTATGATTTCAGTTCACTTTCAAAAACACTTCAACATACCTGGGGATGTTTCTCCTGGCTCCTTTAGAAAGTCATTTTTTTACTTCTTCTCTGTCTAATGTCTGCATAGGATCATAAAAAGCATGTTGGAATTAAAAGTGAGGAAACCAGTTACAGGGCATTGGAGGAACGGAGCAGAAACATAAAATCTAAAGGTTATGATGTAAAGAAACCAGGAAATAATTGGCTTTAATTCAATTTAGAAAAATCTTTTTTTTTCTTTTTCTGTTCATTAAATGCATCAAAGCTGGAAAATTCAACATTTTGTTTGATCCATGAACGCGTCAATCTGCCTGATCATTGACAGATCATCTGGGGTAAACAATTAAAGATCAGCAGGGTCTGAATAAAGAAATCAAAGAAATCAACACCAGTAAAGGTCCAGAGACATTTTTAATTATAAGCTGTTACTCTAAACAGAATTTAATGCTGAAGTAAAATGAGGTGTGTGTATATATATATATATATATATATATATATATATATATATATATATATATATACATATATATATATACACACACACCGGCCACTTTATTAGGTACCCCATGCTAGTAACGGGTTGGACCCCCTTTTGCCTTCAGAACTGCCTCAATTCTTCATGGCATAGATTCAACAAGGTGCTGGAAGCATTCCTCAGGGAGTTTGGTCCATATTGACATGATGGCATCACACAGTTGCCGCCTTCCA